ATAAATCTTCAAGATTTAGAAACGACGACAAGTGTGAGTGTGTTTATACATATGCATGAGATATTCTATAACATCCATCAGCTCGATGTAAGTTCATCTGATTGCCTGCATATATGTATATTTTTTTATATTTTGCTGCAGTACGTCGTAGTACTTAAGGGCAATATTTAACCCCCGCTATGACAATGTTGATGATGTTTATTATGATGACAGTCTCAGCAGCCAACTTGCTGCTGTTGTTGCTGCTGGTTAAATGGCATCTATGTGAACGCTGTCATTTCTAATAATCTAATGTGGAGGTTCATTTTTCAGTTACTCGTTCACTAATAAAACAATAACGTAATTAAATGAAAATAATTTTATTTTTTCTAAAAGAGTTCTTGCCTATATAAGTAGTAGAGTAAAAATGAGGCAAATAATGATGATGGTCGTTTTAAAATTTAATCATTAAATAGAAACTTCATGTACAACCAGAAATGGGAAATGCGTCATTGATATTTATTGAGGCCGTGAGCATGGCACGCGTACTAAATAAATGTTTTACTGAATAAGTTCTTACTTAACGAAATAATTATTTCTTTCTTTTTTTTAATTTAAAATTTTTAATTATTTTGTATAAAATAAAAGCGTTTAATAGCTACTGCTAACGTGACATGATATGACATGGTAATTAAACAAATTTTACTAAAATATAAAAGGAAAAATAGATACTAAAAGAAACATAGAAAGTTTTAGAGTATTTAACATTCTTCATTAAAAAGTTTTTATAGAAAATACTTTGACCATACTAGTTTTATAGAAAAATCATGTTCCAAAAATTTGTTTTGAAAATTCTTTATCAAAAAGTATATATCGACAACTTATCTTCTAAATGTCTATAAACAAAATTCTTTATCATCATTGACAATTTTCTACAGAATTTTCTGTAGAAAAGATTCTTCGCAAACTCTTCTAAGAAACGTAACATATTCTACATTAAAAGACCACCAGTTTAAAAGTATGAAGAAGAAGCTTTGGAAAATTCCTCATCGAAAATGTCTCCTCTAAATTTCCACAAAAATCTTTTATATAAAATAAAAACTTTCTCAAAAATTAAAAAAAAAAAACTTTCCAAAAGTTCTTCTAACAAATTTATACAAAACGTTTTGTCAAAAAGTTTCATTAGACATTTTTTATAAAATAAAATTAACTTCTTAGAAAATCGAAGTTATCTTAATTTTCAATTCTTACTTTATTATTTCGAAATGCTAAAAATCCCCTTTTAATAGATAACAAGCTAAAAATTAATATGCCAAAATATCTATTACGAATAATTCAAATTTTTATTGATATCATTTATTCTAAAACACACCCTAAAACTCAACTATATAAAAAAACGGCGTAAATTGTGCAAAAAACAGAAATTAGATAAATAATAATTAAGTAAAATACTTCAATAAATTTAAATAACAATACAATATTTTAAATTAAATAGTAAGTAATCATAAATTCCATGGAAATCATCCAAAAGTATTAATCAAGTTTTGTCAATTTATCAATATTCATATTAATAGATTTTGAAAATAAACAAAATAAAAAGAAATTGCACAATCTAACAATGAGGGTGTGTTTAGTGGACAAACAAAAATTAAATGAATAAGGTTCAATAAAACGTAAATAAAACATAAATAAAAATATGACAAAAATGTATATTATATATTATTGTGTATATAAAGGTAATAAACTTTTGCGCGATAATTCAATGATAGTAAATAAATAAATGAAACGAATTTCATTACGTGATGTTTGTTGTCTCTTTGTAAAATTGAAATTATTTTTTTATTATTGAAGAATAAATAAAAAGCAAAAACTACTTAAAAAATAAGCACATTAGAAAATGTGGAGACAACATGTGTTTAAAATAGTATGTCATGTCTAGTAACTAGTATCAAGCATGAACTGTCTACTAGACAGTTTACTGTGTTTTATCACGATGTACAACGACAACTCAATGTCATTATAAAAGTGTGTTAGTGGAGAACAAATAATTAAATGATCAACAAAATCAAAACAATCAGAGGTGGCTAAAGTTTGTACCAAAAGTATCTTTTCCTAAGGAGTAGATTTTTTTATTTTGTTTTCTGCTTGAGCTATAATTCTTATTTTTATAAAAATAAATAATAATCTTAATAATTATTGTAGGCGTAATACTTAAAGTTTATTAAATCTTTACTTTTGTTTGACCTCTTTAGTGCCAACAATAATTTGGTGTTAAATTACACAGTATATACCTACTAATATAATAGTACTTCAAATTGAACATAATATTTTTATCTACAAATTTGGTGGTACACTTACACCAAAGTATTGTAGTGTATAATTCCATTAGTTAAGGTCGGTTATTTGACGGAGCAATGCTAGCTACTACATGTGAGTATTATGGATACGTCATTATCTTGACTATAAATGTAATTAATAAGTTTAGAAGGTAGACGAGTTGCGAGTTGCGGTAGAACAAAAAAATAAGATTAGTTTATAAAAAAAAAGTAGCATGACTATAGCAATAACAAACATAAGTTCTTAAGATAAAAACCATAATAAAAAAAACAACAACAAACAAAAATATTACAAAACAGAAAAATATTCAAGGTATTGAAATAATCTTGTACGAGTACACATTATAATCTAGAAAAATAAATAAGCTTTTCATGAAATAAGTTATAAGAACTCCTAAAAAGTCTTTATCGAAGAGTTTAAATCCAAAACTAATCGTAGAGTCTACAAGAAAATGTAACGTCAAAGAGTTTCTATAGAAAACAGTTTTCTGTTCAGTAAAAGAAAATCTTTTAGTTATTATAATACAAAAATGTTGAAAACTTAATTAAAATCTACATCAACAATTAGATAAACAATGAAATAAAACGGTCATTAACAATAGTCCAAAGAAACAAATGGATAACTTAAACAAAAAGTAAATCCAATTAAAGATGATGATGCTCACTGCACATTAAAAACTAAGAATATTATATGCTAATTGTAATAAATGAAAAAAAAAACTATATAACAAATTGAGATCAAGATTCTTTTGTTTCAAGAAAACGTTGACAAGACATCAAGGTAAACCAAAGTCAAGTATTCGAAAATGAAACATAAAACAATGAAATAAACTGAGAAAAAAAATATATAAAAGTGTAACATTTTACGGTTGCATTTTGTATAACAACAACTACATACAATGTTCCACAATAACTCGTGCAACAAGTTACACAGCAGGAGGTCACTCGCCTTTTTCAAAACAACAAACTTTTGTATAGTTTTTAAAAATAAAAACAGAAAAATACCAAAAAATAAAAAAGAAACACTTAAAATTGAAATAAACCAGAAGAATATAAACATTTCGTTTTTTTTTTTTTCTTTTTTTGGGTAAAACAAGAAAAATAAACCATGAAATTTAAAATTTTATTTAATGAATCACGTCACATCTCATCATTTTGTAGTATAATTTCTTTAGAAACTTTATTACATTTATGTATATGTATACAGCTGGTTGGTTGCCTGGCTACAGCGGGATGCTGTTGGCTAAGTTGGAAATTTTGTAAAGGTGTGTTTTTAGTTTTTCTCTCTTCAGGCCACTTCAAATATCAAGGAGTTACAGATACAAAAAGTAATTTGTTTTAATATTTTCTTCAAGTATCCATAATTAAAATTTTTGTTTAGAGAAATCTTTTTTTTGGAAAAATGTTAACAACTTTATTTGTTTTTAATTAGAAATGCTTTAATTCAAATAGAATTTACAGTGCTATAAACAAAATGAAAATAATTATTTCTTAAAGAACAACACACTTAAAAAATGTATATTAATATTTCTTTTAAAAATAAAAATAATTATTTTTATTTTATCTTTACTAAGAAAAAAAAATTTTGAAATTAAAATTGTTCTAATTTTAGAACTAGATCATCAAATCAAATACAAAATTAAGCAATGATATCAGCAATTTTAAATCTTTTTAGATTAAATTTTATAATGTATACCTATATGTAGCTTTATACGTACTTTCTGCACTTCTCGAGACCCGATTTATTTTGTTTTGAAAACAATTACAATTAATTATTAGTTTTTTTTTCAGTAAAAGACAATAATATTGAAAATAGTTGAATTTTCTTTAAAATTGTTTTAATAGTTTTTATGTAGATAGATGACTTATCGTTATATTTTTCTTCGAAATATTATCAGGAGTTTTTTTGTAAAAAAGTTCTTCAGCCAAGTTTTCACAGAAAGTTTTTTATAGAATTCTTGAGTTGGATATTAATCGAATCTAAACCGGTTTTCAGGTCGAATATCTAATACATATTCAAAACAAACGTAAACGTTTACTGGACACCATAATACTCCAACCTGAAATAGATCTCATAGACCTGGCATACAAATGATAAATGGAATTTCAAATTGTAAAAATCAGCATAAAATTTTTACTTTTTTTAATTACGGTTGTACAAAATCTATATTTAGGGAAAATTAAGGGGACTTTTTCAGTTAGTAGACAATTCAAAATATGTATTAGTCGATGGATTAGCCAATAGAGTAACCGATAAATTAGTTCATTTAGTCCACTGATAAGAGACTAGATAACTGAGTTATCTATGTATATATAAGACGTATGTTGTCTATTCTATAGACTACATAGAATAGGCCAAATACTAAATCGTAGAAAAGTCGTTAGACTGTCCATAATCTAGACAAAAGTAATTTAAAATTGTACCCATTGTTATACCATTATACTTTTAGAGTTAAAATTATAGCAAACAAGTACAAATTCTGACAATACTGATACACATACATACTGAAAGTTTAGAGTTAAAGAATCTCCAATATTTATGCTTCACTGTATCCACTAGTGTCCTGCTTTAGCCAACTTTCACCTAAACTTTCCTCCGGCTTTTTTTCAACTCATAATTGCTCTAAATTTATGTACATACTAAATTTATTAGAGTAACAAATGTGTATTAAAAAAAAAACTTACCAATTCCAAAGACTTGTTTGGGATTACAATCACTCCACACCGTCATGTTGATGCAAGTTTGTTTATTAATTTCAAAATTTTAGACAAAAAAGAAGAAACTGAAAAAGTTGTGTGTTAATTTTCAAATACTCCTGCAGCCACCGCCTGCCTCTGCTCCACGAGTTTGGAAATTTTGTTAATAATAACGATGATGGTGATGATGTTCAACAAACACAAACATTTTTCATAATAGTAATGAGAATTGTTGTTGGAGAGGTTTTTTAAATTAATTTTTAGCTGTTTAAAGAATTTCAACGTTTGGATTATTCATTGTGTAACTATAAGTAACTATTTTCGTTTATTTATTTAAAGGTCATTTAATTAATAGTTTATTTTGTTTTTAATAAGAAAATTTATAAAACTTCTTTTGAAAATTTGTTCACATTTCACAATAATCTATAAAAATAAATACAAATAATAATAAAATTATAAGTTTATAATTTTAACAACGATAATTAATATTAAAGCAATTGTAATAAAGATGTTGACGCATGTTTATTGTGTCATTATGTAGAAATTTATTAACAAAAAGGTTATTAAAAAACACCAAATTAAATCACTATGAATTTCCACTCCCGCTTTTTTGTATACTACTTCACTTTTCTTTTCCTAACTATTATTTTAGGCAATAAATTAAAAACAAAAAATAATTTTTAATTAAAATATTTTTGCGTACATTCTTTTGTTTTTAATTGGGAGTTGGCTGGTTGTTGTTCAGACTGACTGACACACTCGATACGAATCATTCACTCAATTCACTCCATGAGCCGTTAATTTAATCTTGAAAAGAAAACAACAACAAAAAACCGACAAAAATGTTTTCTTCGTTTATTTCACACTCGGTTCGTTATTATCATGATTATCATTACTATACTTGTTGTTGTTGTTGAGCTAACTCGGTTAATAATTAAAAAAATTGACTAATTTTGTTTTAGTGGAATCTTTCGCCTCCATTTAACACAGTACTTTTATTTTCTTTAGAATTATTATTTAATGTATTTTATTTTAATACCTTTTTTCATGCAGAAATTTCACTGTTTTCTTTTTTTTCTGTTATTTACTTTTAAAGCAATCTTTCAAATTTTTTGTATATACATTAAAAAAAAAAAACAAGTAAAAACATTTAAAATAATATCTATCTATCCGTTCGTTTATGTTTTACAACCTTTCGTCGTTATGAATGAATTGCAACTAAAAGATGAAGAAGGAAAAATAAAGAATAACGATGATGAAGAAGAATGAAGTTAAACTAAATAGCAGTGTTGATAATATTGTCGAACAACGCCGAAAAATAAACCTCTTAAAAATAATACAATTTTATAATGCCTATTCTCCAAATTGAAAATTATCTAATTCATTTACAGATAGAATTTATATTTTTATAACCATGGAAACCAAAATAAGCAAATGCATGTTATAGTGCCTCGTATGTATTCATGGACAAGACAAATTTCAAAGTTATTTAAGAATTGCATAATTTGATTTGAATAGCATATTTTAATTTCTTATTATTTTTATTTATTTATTATTTAGTAAAAAATTGAATTGAACTTTGTGTGAGAAGTACAATAATAATATATTTCAATAAGGAAATAGATTTAAAACTATACAAAATGGATCATTGGTATACCATTGTACTTTTGAATTGACCAAAAGAGTACAATTGCCCCAATTTTCCCATCCCTGCCGCAAGGTGAAGTGACTAGTAAATTCAGAAAAATTACCTGAATTCGTTATATATGGATTTCATCAGCGTCGGTTGTAAAAGAGTTATCATTTATCGGGAGTTTGGTATTCGCGAAATAAATTTTAGACAACAAAATTACATTTTGAATTATTTGATACGTTCTAGCGATTTTTGTAAAAAAATCTAGCATTTCCCAGTGTTTTGATTTGATGGGAAATGTTTGAAAAAGTTGGCAACTTTGGTTTTGACACTTGTCATAATTAAAAGAAAACATTCCAATATATGTTTTCATTTACAACAAAACTCTTTTATTTATTTTTTGGTAATTAAAACTAAATTTAATAATAAAATTTAAGAATTTTGAACTAAAAGTATATTTAAAAAGTGAATAAACGTTTCTATAAAAAAACGTTGTGTTGCAAGTTAAAGAATTTAATACGAAAACATTACTAACACATGGGTGCTGCCAGGGGTAACGCCCTGTTTTGTTTTTTAATAATTTTACCTAATATAAAGCAATTTTAATAATTAAATAGTTGAATTTTCTATAATTGCAGTTTACTTTTATTGTTTTACTTAAAACAAAAGCTCAAATTTACTAGCAATTTTAAAAAAACGGCATCGACATGAATTATGGGCGTAAGACTCCCTCGACCTATCGATCAAATCCCTCTGTGTATTCCCATACCACGGGAAGGTAAGTTTTGTTAAAAGATCTTAAAAACATATATGTAGGTATCTAGTTAATTAATTATTTTCTTGCTTTTAAGATCTTCTACAAATCTTCATACCGTCAAATCACGTTCCACACGTTCGGTGCGTATACCTTGGTACCAAAGACCCATTCTAAAGAACAATCAATATATTGATATACAAAAAAATGCCATGATGATTGGTTTATTTGCCATAGTAAGTATTGTTACTCCTAAAAATTTAAATTTATAAATTATTTGGTGTCATTTTTAGTTTTTGGCTTTATTCACCATTGGCACTGCCATCTTTGATATATATTGTTTGGCCATGGCTGCGCCTGGTTCAACACATTATGGTTATTATATTATATCATATGAATTTGTGTATGTTGGCAACAAACATGGTGAGTTATAGTTTGTTTTTAATTATTATTAATTAAAATTTATATTTGATTAATTTCAATTTATAATTTCAGTACGCAACATGTTGATGGTATTTGCTTTATTTTCATTAGTATTGGGTGTTATAATATTATTTACCAGTATACTGCTAGTAGTAGCTTTAAGAAAGGTATGTTTTTATAAAATCATTAATTTACTTTGAATTCTTCAACGTGGATAATATATTACATATCTTTTTCGCATATTAGTTAGCTGGGATTATTTTGTAATTCGTTTCGAAAGGATAATCCCATTTTAAATCTTATTACACATTAATCTCCAAGAATTTATTTAATTTCTTTTTTATTATAACATTTCACTTTTAATTTTTCACAAGCATCATAAACATGGAAAACAAAATCGTTTTGTTTTAATACCGGTAACATTTGTTTTTCAGTTCATTATCATCCACAAAAACACCTGTTTTCTGAATACTTAAACTTTAAATTGGCTATCAAATATCTCCAACATATTACTTTATATTAAAAAATATTTAATTATTATTTCTCTTTTTTCTTTTTTATTAACAGGAATATGAACGTAAAATTTTACCCTGGCTTTGGACCTTTGCCATATTTACTGTATGGCGCTTTTTGTCTCTACTATTCTTTGCCATTGTCAATGATTTGTATTTTGCCTACAATGCTGTCATGGTATTTTTATGGTCCGTTTTTGTTTTGATTTGCATCTTAGGTTGGTGTGTGGTTTATTCATTATTCCTGGAGTTAGTAGATCTAACGAAATTAGAAGATTTGGCTCACTTAAGAGTAAGTAAGAATAATTTCATCTTAGTACTTTTATTAATTATATACTTCATTGTATTGTAGATGGGTACTATGGCTTCTTTACATGCCTCCACTGCCAATTCCTTAGCCGGTTCACGTCCCACTACACCACATAGTACTGTTTCTACTATGCCAGTTGGTTGAGTTTACTGTAATGCACAAATATTGGCATTTTTTAAGAATCTCTCTGCAATTACTTTTTTATATGTATTACTATCGAAACCGTCCCATATTTTTAATGTTTACTTTATCAATATCTTTTTAATGCCTTAAAGTAGAAAACATTCCATCGATATATAATTTTGTTTAAAAATGTTAACACATTTATTTATATGTATGTATTTAGAAGTGCCTTAATTGAAAAAAAAAGACATCATTATTTGTTCTTTACACAGTAGTAGTTGATTGATTATAAAGCTTACAAATTGTTTTTAAGTACATTTTTACATTTAATAGATTTATATATATTTTTTAGTATGTAAGCTGAAAATTGTACCGTCCATTTTTTATATAATACATAATTATATGTAATATGTATTTGCTAATTAAACGAATACAAATAAGGATTTTAAAAATTTATTTAAAACATTTTTTATCTCAAATATTATTGAAAATATTTAACATATCAGTCAATAAAAGAAAATAAAACAATTTTTTTCATTATTAAAATAGTTTTTAATTCAGCAACGAATTATGATTCAGCTGGCTATAACTGAATTTAAACATTATTTTTTTTATCAAAATTCAGTTAGCTGAATTGTAAGTTTTATTACTTATTTATTTTTTAAATTCAGAATTTATGGATTTCACAAAAATATTGGATTTAACATTCAGTAATTGAATGTCATTTCTATATCTCTGATTTGCTAGATTATGAAATAATCCCCTTAAAGTGCTCCAAATTCAGCCAGCTAAATTGGTTTCTGTTTTAACTTAAAAATCCTGAAACAGAGTTCCTATTTATACAACATTACCATTACTAATCATAATTTAAATTTTGCACCAAAAAAAGTTTATTATAAATCTTTTATTATTAACTAAAATAAAGTTTCTTTTCTTTTTATTGATATTTGTTTATTTTTTTTAACAGTGTGTTTAATTTAAATGTATGTTGTATTTTTTACTAAAAATTAAAGTGAAAAAAAAAGAATTGTTGCCATTATAATTAGAAAAGTGGGTTAAAATTAGATTATATTAATTAATGATAGAGTGTTATTTATAAAGAAATTAGTTAAAAGTATTGAAATGTTATTTAAAGTACAACAAAAACAATAGAGATAGAAAGGAGTAGAAGTGGAGAATAATTTTATTTCCTGAAACATAAAGTTTATAGAACAAAAATAGGCTTAAAAATACACTACTAATTTTTTAATTCCCGTAACAAAATAGTTTTTTTTTTTTTTTAAATCTTGAACATTATTTAACAGTGATAAGTTCTGTATTGCTTAATTGTGTTTTCGACAAATCACCCACCAATGTATCGAGCAATGCTCGTAATTCCTGTTGAGCAAATTCTTGCGGTAGGGGCAGACGTTCCAAAGCAATTTTTATTATAAGACAAGGATTGAGAATGGGACAAACAAGTAAAACACCCCGAACTAAACACGCTAAATTTTGGGCAATTTCACTCTGGCACAAACGATGTTTGGGTGTGGGGCAGGGTAAAAGATTAATACGCGAGCATAGATCAGCCAATTGAGGCTTCAAGTTCTCCCATCGTGCCTCGATATCAGCTTCGGTTTTGAGGGATTTCAGGCCCTTGAACTGAAAATATAATTGCCAATTAAAGACAATATTTTAAATGTTTCTACGCATTTATATACCTTTTCATTAATGTCTATGAAATCCAAGAATATTTGTCCTTGATTGGACCAGTTGGGCACCTTAATACTCTTATTTAGATCCGGATTTTCAAATTGTGTTAATAAATGATGTAAGTATTCCAAATTATCTGAAAAAATAAAGAAATTAGTTGCAATAGGCCGAGGAGATCTTTAAATCTAATTTACCATTGGTGACAGCATCTGGGGCAATATGCTGAAATATTATCTCGTGAGCCAAAGACCATTGTTTGGCCTTGAGCAGATATTTTGCTTGTAAATGATAATTGTGTATGGAGCCAGCCCTTACTGCCTTGGCATAATCAATCCATTTCTCTGGCACGCCCAAATTATTGATAACAAATTTTTCTTTTTCATTTAAAGCCACATCTTTTGAAACAGACACATAACGATAGAGAACATTTTGTACGGCCAATTCACGTTGATTTTTATCTTTGATGTGCAATAAAACAAATATTGCCCATTCCCACAGGTCATTGTTTTCCAGTTGAGCAGCAAAACCCACATGCAGTTGAGACTCGCTTAATTCAGAACAATGACGATAGCCCAAGGCTTCTAAAGTTTGCAAAAGTAACCAACTACCAGAAGAAAGTCCATATAAAATAAAATTTCTTAGTGAGTAAAGAATTACCATACCTTAAACGATAATCCATGGGATCTGCAGTGTGAGTGGCTGGATTGAGCAGACTTTCCAAGGGATGACTACGTTTTGAAAATAGTTGCAATAAATGAAAACGTAAATCATAAATAGTGTCTTTATCGTTGTAATGAGAAACATTTTCCATGTAAACTGGCGTGGGAGGTAGAGAATAAAATTCCTCAGACTTGAAGGATTTCTCATAAGCCAATAAGGCATCCGTTATAGAAGAGGTAGGGGAAGATAAATACCACAATTGCAGCTAAATGAAATATTATATAGATAATTAAATGGTAAACCTAAACAGAAATCAGCTTATTAACTTACCGCCAATACTTTAATCCATTCTATACCCTCTAGGCAATTGATTACGCCATGACTAGAAGCCATTAGAGAAATACCAGCAACCAACATGAATAATTTTAAACGTTCTACTTGTATAAACTGGTCCGCCTTATCGGCATTCCAGGCAGCCAATTGATCTTCCATTAGTTGCCTTACAACAGGACCAGATGACATTTGCGACATCAATAGGGACAAATTGACATCATCATAATTAAAGGCCAATTCACAGGCCTCCGTTACCTTATGACACATTATCAAATCGACTAGATGTTCCAAATATGTATGTTTGGATACGGTTTTTGTCAACAAATCCTTATCGGTAAGAGTGTTTTCCAACCATTCCGACAATAAATTACGACGACACATGACGACAAAATGTGAGGTTGCTTCACGACCCTCCAACTCCTCATGATCACCCCACAAGGCCAAACAGAGAGACCAAACAGACACTGCATATTCCTCTAAGGGACCAAGGTTAATCAATTTTATGGCTTCGTCTAAGTGCTTTACAATAAGTTCAGTGCCACCATCTGATTTTATATATGGACACTCACTGCCTTCTACATCTTGTTGCTGTGAATTCCGCAATTGTATTTGCAAATGATCAACTATACTTTCTTCGAAGTTATCATACGACTGGGTGGCGGAAATTTTTAAATGTTGCAATATGGTGGGCGAATAATCGTTTGCACCACGACTTTTGAAAATAGCAGGAGCAATGTCAAGCAGATTTTTAGCTGTTAATTATAATATTAAAAATTTTGTGAAATTTGTCTTTCATTTATTCACTTACATTTAATTTCTCGATTCAAATTGTTTCTAGTTGAGGGAACAATCAGTGTATGCTGTGGTCCAAAGCCCATTTTAAAACGACGACAATTGTATAAACCCAAATCGGCTGGCCATTTTAAACGTAATGGAAATGCCACTGATTTGACGAGAGGCACTATTGATCCCAAACTTTTGACTGAGGCCACTTTGGGTTTTACTATAAGAGGGGGTAATTTGTGATCGGATTGGTACTTCTCCATTTGCTATAAACAGATGAATTTGTAGTAACTTCACAGAATTTCAAAAATGTACTATTGTGAGATTTACCTGTTCTTGTTGACTTTTCAAAACACTCATCACTGAACCAGAATCAGCAGACGAAGCGGGCAAAGGAGGTGAAGCATTAAAATCAACCTGACTTGAGGTTTCAGATAAGTTGCCACCCAAACCACCCATGCCCACGGAATTTCCATCTTTCCACAAAGAATTAGCAGAGCCATACATTTCCTGCAAACGTTTGCCAAACAAGCCACCTGGTTTGTTGCGATTGAAATCATGATGACCAAATTCTGAAGCTTCTAAATAAGACAACAGAGACATGTAAAATGCTAGTTTGAAAAAGAAAAACGTATATATACCTGATTTATTATCCAGATCATCATCTATAAAAAACGAAGCCTTCATCAATTGCAACTTATGAGCATCAGTACCCATGTCCTTGGCCAGAGTAGCCGTTGGACTAGTCAAGCCCTGTTTGAATACTTGCTGGGGATGGTCGAACATGGAAAAGTCATTGTTGCCATTGTTTTGAAAGAACTCTACAAATAAAACACATTGAAATAAATAAAAAAAAACATAATAAAATGTTCCAAAGTGGAGTCATACGTGTCTTGTCCATTAACATGAACTCAGCAGATTCATCCATGGGATAGAAGCCAGCAGCTGTCAAAGACTTGGGATCCAAAGCCCGGGCAGCATCTTCAGATATCTGCAAAAAAAATTTAAGTTAACGCAACAGTTTTTTTAATATTTCCATTTTTATTTAAATTTTCTTTGTAATGAATTACAATAGTGTTGTATTAATGTTAATATATGTTTATTATTACATTAAAAGCATTATATAACTAAATAAAATGATTTAGGCCACTTACTTTTTGCGCATTTTTCAAAGCAGCCAAAGTCATTTTATCATGTGCATTAATAGCACCAGCTGCTGCAGCTGCTTGTGCCAAAGCTTGTTGTTTTGCTGCATCAACAGCAGCGGCTCCCATTTTGGCCTTTTTTGGATCAGTAGGTATATCTTCTTCCTCGTCGCTGTCATTTAAACCATATTTGGAGAAATGTTTCACCCGAAATACCCAACTACCTGTTTCAGGACGATATTCAATGAAACGGGTTTCGTTTTTATCGCAGACTCGACGCAGTTTGCCCTCCCAATCCATTTCCATTAGACGCTGAGCATCCTTAATAGGTTCATGTTTACTTTTGTCCAAAGGCCATACTTGATCCAAGGTCACTTGAGCTTCACGATTCAAGCCATGACCAACCGGTGGTTTATTATCATCATCCGGATAGATGATGATTTCCTTATTGCGAAAATGAACAATTTCATCCAAATTCAATCCGGCGACATCCATTTCTTTGCCAAAGTATACATTGCCGTAACCTTCGCGACCCACCGTAAAGTTGGGCACAACACAAGAACCGTCTTCGGCCAAAAATGATTTTAAATCGTCTAGAGAAGGAATGGTGTAGTAACCCATTCTCTTCAATGTAATGCCAGTGGGATGTTCTTCATATTCGGCTTGGGCGTCTTCAATCAGTATCGATTTATCGTCGGCGGCATAAGATCGATTAGAAGAAGCAATGCTCTCGTTTACAGCGGCACTAGTATCGCGTCTTGAAGAAATTATGCTCTGATCTTCAAAGGGGTTTTCTGGTACTGTAGATACCGATAAACGTCCGCTGTTAGGTGCATTACGGTAGGTGTCCAAAGGCTTGCGGGGTACTAGTTCTGTCAATGTATTGTTATGAGAACTACCTGGTTCAAGCCCTGCATTTATATTATGTTGCCTAACTTTTTCCAAATTGTTTGGATGCAACCATGACTCACGACGACTGGCGTCCAAAACCGAGCTTGGTGGAGCATTTGAAGAAACCACATTGCCACCAGCTCCAGGAGATTGTTTTGTTGAAGGCTCTGTTGGTATTTGTCCGGAAAATGATTCATTGCGTATATCTTGTTGGTTGTTATTAGAACCGGTCGAAGTTAAAGGCGTAATTTGTCTTTGTGGTGTGTTTGCATTTGAACCGGAACCGGGAGTTTGCTGGCCTGAGCCAACACCGCCCATTGTATTGTTGTTTTTAGGTTTCAGTATCAAACGTTTGGCATTCGGCTTTAGGCTAAAGCTCTCCACGCTGGCATCAAATTCTTCAAGCCCCTCGAAAAGGGATTTCTTAGTTAGAGCCGAACCAATCGGTTTAACTTTTATTATACTTGGGGAGGAATTAGTTGAAATTTTGAACTGTTGCCCACTAGTACTGGTATTTTCCATGATTGCCTTTTGAGCGGCCGGATTTGTAGCTCTGGTGGGATCATTTTCTTCACTGCGTTTAAGATCCTTGAAAATTGGATTGTCTCCGTAGGGCGAAGTCACTTTTGATAGAATTTGTTGATGTATAGGCACTTGTTGTTGTTGTTGAGGAGTTCCGGGCAAACCGCCTAAGGTGCCAAGACCACCATCGTTAGTAGTTTGGCCGAACCCTTTCATTTGGTTACCTAGACCACCAAATGGTGACTGTCCTGTCTGACCAAACAGTCCTCCGCCAGTTGTGTTTGTTGCTGTACCTAGTGATGTGCCAAACATACCTCCTGGTTTGGCAGCTGTATTACCAAATAGCGAAGTTTGACCAGTTCCTGCATTGAAATTTAATGGAGCAGCTGTCGATGTATTTGTGCCAAATGCGCCAAAGCCTGATGTGGCGGGTTTGTTCAGTGTTGAATTGAAAAGGCCTCCAGCGCCGGCGTTGGTATTATTTAAGGAGAAATTGCCGAATCCTGTGTTGGCTTGAGAGGTGGCACCAAATGCGGGGGCAGCACCAAACCCGGTAGCCGGTTTGGCTCCAAACAGTCCACCAGTAGCAGTGCTAGTGGCTGTAGTGCCAAAACCACCAAATCCAGTATTACCAGTAGAAGTCTGACCTAAACCAAAGGCTGGCTTATTTGCATCGGCTGCTGGTTGTCCAAATAATGATGGTTGCTGTTGCTGCTGTTGACCAGCAGTAGTACCAAAGCCGGTTCCAAAACCAGTATTCGTTTGACCAAAAGCAGGGGCAGCACTTGTAGCTGGTGTTTGACCAAATAAAGACGGTGCTGCGGTTTGTCCAAAAGCGGGTTTAGCTCCAAAAGGATTGGAATTATCAGTTGCTGCTGCTCCAAAACCAGTAGTAGTTGTTGCGCCAAATGGTTTGGCTCCAAAAGGCTGTGAGGCTGCTGCACCAAAACCACCAGTGGCGGGTTGACCAAAAGCAGTGTTGGTTGAGCCAAATAATCCTTTGTTCTCAGTTGCTCCTGCTGCAGGCTGACCAAATAAACCAGTGCTAGGCTGGGCTGTTGCTCCAAAGAGGCCAGTTCCGGTAGCAGGTTGTGTGGTAGCACCAAAACCTCCAAAACCACCTGCGGCTCCGGCCTGTGGACCTTTCCGATTCGCCAAATAATCTTCCATTCGTAACTCTTCCAAGGACTTGCCTTCATATTCCTTCATGGCTGTAATACAATGTTGTTTGGTGTTTACACTATTCGGTTGACCGCCCTTCATAAGGGTATCAGTTCCAATAGTTGGTTGGTATTTGGCAATTGATGTGCCAGGATTTGCTGCCGTGGCGGCATTTGCGGGCTGACCAAATGCTGACGAAGCTGAACTTCCAAAAACGCTTGTTGTGGTTGGTGCAGCTTGGCCAAAAGTTCCAAAACCACTGGTACTAGTCGAAGCTGCAGGTTGCCCAAACAAAGAAGTCGAAGGCTGTGCTGCAGTTTGTCCAAAAGTACCCAATCCAGCCGGTTTAACAGCGGACCCAAAGGCCGAAGTAGCGGCTGGCTGTCCAAACAATGATGATGTATTAGCTTGAGGTTGGGCTGCTCCAAAAATCGAAGTATTCTGTTGTGGTTGTGAAAAATCTAAAACACAAATTAAAAATAATATGAAATAATGCGAAATTGTTTGATTCCTTATTGCAACAGTTAATGAAACTTACTGCCGAATGCAGGTTGTGTTGTCGTGGTACTTCCGAATGCCGTAGATGTGCTGGCACCTCCAAATAAACCCGTTGTCTGAGGTTGAGCTGTATTGGAACCAAACAACGAAGGAGTAGTCTGTTGTGCTCCAAATGCCGGAGCAGCACCAAACGCACTTGTAGCTGGTTTGCCAAACGCAGACTGACCGAACGGTGAGGAAGTGGCGGTATTATTAAAACCACCAAAACCGGTGCCAGTAGTGGCCGAGCCAAAAGTCGGTTTAGTGCCTCCAAACATTATTATTGTTTATTTGTTATTTCACACTAATTTTCTTTAATATTTTTGCCAAAAACTAATGTAAAATATGCGAGGAAATTGACAGCGTGATTTCCCCTCCCCGTGTGTTAAGTTGTTTCAACTAAAAATTCTTCTTTGTTGTTGGTATTTCACAATTTTGTTCAAGCTTTTTTCTTTTTGATATTTGGGTGAAAAATCTCTCTATAAATAGGGAGATTTTAAATTTATAACTAAATATTTGTCTGCACTGCTATCGTTAAATAATTTTGTCACAATAATTTCTCAACTATTTTGCGGGATTTGCTGGTTAAAAATGCCGTACAAAATCTTAATTCAAAGAATTTAACTGCGAAATTATTCGCTCAAAGCGAAAATCAGAGCCCTGCGCCGACAAATATTAACGACGGCTGACACTAAAAATATCGCCGGCGGCTTAAAACCGACTGTAAGCCTGCTAAGTTCTCAAATACGCTTAATTTTAAAATTTTCAAAGTCCTGTTTTAGATGTGACTTTTCAGGCATGCCTTTTTTTCTATTTTCTTTTAAATGCCCTTCGTAAAATCTTGAATATTTACATGTGACTTTTAAGGCATGCCTGCTAATGAGTGTAAGAGCTGCCATTTTTATAATTCTTAATTTATTGTTTTAAATATGTTTTAAACGAGTTAATATCTTTATTTTTTAAATATTTGTTAAACTAAATATTGTGTTTATTTTTAAGTAGATATTTTCTAAATTTATAAAAAACTTAAATTACATAATTTTTTTACCATTAGTTTGAAAAAAATCAATTACTTTCGAATAAATTAAAATAAAAAAAATAATTATTGGAGGTGGCAACACTTAACATGTATGATAGTAATCGCACACGATCTTTATGCTGTGAGAGCAGAATAGAAATAAAGCAACTATCAAAATTACGAATGTGTGACAAAAGCAATGTCGAAAAAACCCTTCAATTTACGTTTCGTGCCTGTTTTGCAACACTTTTTTCTTCTTGGAGTCCTTGACTCAAAAGGCATAGCCTGAAACAGGTCAAAGATTTTAAATAAAAACGGAATCCGAGAGACTTTTGTAATTAGGGTTCTATAGTTGAAACGAAAAGTCGACATTTTGCAATCAGTTAAAAGTCGACTTTTTGCATTTTATAAAAAGTCGATTTTTCGACATTTCGACTTTTTTCATTTAATTAAAAGTCGACTTTTCGACTTTAAGTATTTTATAAATAGTCGACTTTTCGACTTTTTCCGACTTTTCGATTTTTTTGGACTTTTTGACTATTTTCGACTTTCGATTTTTTTTTTACTTTTTCCGAGTTTTTTTTCCGACTATTTTAGAGATCTTGACTTGACTTTTTCCATTTTTTAATAATTTTCGACTATATTTGACTTTTTCCGACTTTTTACAGTCGATTTTTCGACTTTCATAGACGATTTGGAACAAAATAGTCGACTTCGACTTTTGGAACAAAATAGTCGACTTCGACTTTTTTCGACAAAAAGTCGATTGTTCGATTATTCGATGGTCGATTTATAGAATCCTAGTTTGAAGTAAAAGCAGCAACTCGAATTAGGCGCGTAAACACGAAAATATCTGAGGCGAAGCATATAAATCGAACGTTGAGCAAAGTTTTACACCGGCCAAATTTCAATGAGCGGTTTATTATTGATAAAAGAAAACATGCCTAAATGAAAACAAATTAATTTTATATTGTAAAATTCCATAAGTTTAGCGAAAGTGTTCTGTAAATTATACAAAATATGGCAAAATTTTTAAGCCGTATTAAGCAAAAAAATTTTCGTCGGCGGCGGTTTTGACATTTTGTTCGGCGGCTAGATTTAGTCGGCTTAAAGCCGAATTGCCGCGGGTCTCTGATCTCGTGTTTGCTACAAACACAAATTGTTGTTTTTAGCCCAATTTTATGACATATATAAAAGCTGAATGATACGAGTCCAACTCGTTAAGTTAAAAATTAAATTCATAGAGGTTAATTTTTGAAATAAATTTAAAGTTTTAAATACTTAATAATTATTATGTATTAGTTAACTAATAATTTTTTTTAGAAATAAGAACTAATTTTTCTGGTTTTATTTAAATATGTTGGTTTATTTTTTATATATAACAATAAATAGATAAATTTTAGAATTTATTTCTTAAATATTACATATAAGAAGATTTTTCTCAACAGTGTAAAATATAAGAAACTTAAAAAAATTATAAACTTATATAAAAACAATGATATACTCACGAAATGATTTGTGTGATAATGCCAATGCTAAGGAACATAAATATAAAAAAATATAATTTAAAATCAACAAAATAGCATAAATATAAGGACATACGTTTTTCCTAGTCACATATTAGCTACTGTTTGTTGTTACATAAAACAATAACAGACAATTTAAATAGAATACAAAAGTATATATATAAAATTAGCTAATACACAAATATTGAAAGTATAGGTTTTATCATTATAAATACAAATTGTGTACGTTGTGTAAAAAGCTATAAAAATGTTGTATATTGTTAAAAATAAATTAAAAAGAGAGCTACTGTAAGATAGATTTAGAAAATATAAATTAAGAAAGTTGAACTCTAGTTGCTAAATCTACAGCAAACAGACACGTGTACATGTACTAATATATAGTATATTTAATCAAACTACTGTATACTGCAACTGCGTACCGAATGGCTAAGTTTTTGGTCATCATCTTGTATATCTTTGGCGTTCAAAAGACTTTTAATGCTTTCTGCCTCTTTCATCCAAAAATCAAGCTAAAATAAGGAATTAAAATGCAGTATACGATAACTAAATTGAATTTGTAAATTAAAACTATAAACAAAACCTGTTGTATTAATAAAGTTCTTCTTTCGCCTTTGGGTTCTTTATTAAGAAACGGCACCAATATACCCAAGGCTGAGGTGAAAGACTCTAAAGCGGACTCAAATTTACGTTCATATAAATATAATTCTCCCTGGCGCCCAATTTCCAAAGCCGTTTTCAATGAAGGACTGGAATGTGATAATGCAACTGCAAGTATATAAAAGTTTAGCTAATAATATTGAGCTTAAAAATTTATTGTATTTTTTTGGCTGGTTACATAGTTGTTTATAGCGGGTTTCTGGTTCCAAAACTTCAGCAATTATATTCGTTGATGTTGTAGGCTCCTGTTTCTGGTGTTCCTTACTTTGCCGTAGCGCTAAGGCTTTATATTCCTGTTCAATTAAAACATTTTTAATTTCTTCGGCTCTTTTCATGTAAGTAAGTGCTCGATTACGCAAAGCCATACGTTTGTTAGCATCTGCTTCATCTGTTATGAGTGGTACAAAGTATTGCAGAGAACTGCAGTATAGATAATAAGCCTCTTTATAATTTTGTTTTTCATCATATTCCACTGCTTGGGTTACCAACTCTATGGCTTTTTGAAGTGTCTGAAATTTAAGAATTTTATATAGTCATTAATAAGCATTTAAAATTATTTCACGAAAAACTTCCAAAGAAATTTTTTTAATAACGTTATTTACTATAAAATTGCAGATTTTTAAAATTCTGTAATAAATTACCCACTTATTAATAAACTTACCTTTTCCGATGGAAATGTTTTGAGATCTAGAAATGCATGACTAAAGAAATCATTAAACGAAATACGTTTGGCTGGATCATGTTGCAACAGACGACTTAATAGATCCTCACACTCCTTACTAATACGAGCATTAGGAGGCAAATTAATCTTCTCGCAACTCCTTATGCGCATTAAGAGTTCCTCAATAGTTTTTGAACTATAGGGAGCTCTTCCAAACAAACACTCATACAATATCACACCAATACTCCAGAGATCAGCGCGAGCATCATACTGATGTTTGCGTACGATTTCGGGTGCCATATAGAGAGGCGAACCCTTTAATTGCATATTTATTTCGCCCAATTTTAAATGTTGGGCAAAACCAAAATCGGCCACTTTTAGAAAAACATTTGAATTGATTTTTGTCAGTAACAAGTTCTGTGGCTTCAAATCGAAATGACAAACATCATTGCTTCGCATATACTGCACAGCAGCGGCCAATTGTCGAAGGAAGTATTTGCATGTGGCCTCTGGCAGTGATTTTTTGGAACGTATAAAAGTTGAAAGGCTGCCAGCATTGCAATATTCCAAGACTATGTAAATGTTCTTATCATCCCAGAAAAAATCTTCCAGGGTAACAATATATTTGTGATTCAAGGAGCGCAGTAGGCGTATTTCCGTTATTAAGTTCTCCCTTGAGCTGTCGGACAGCGAAGACATTTCCACAAATTTAATAGCATGATAAGTTTTACTTTTCTATATTGTAATGATAGATATGAATTCATGTATATTAGATAAGTATTATCTTTGAAAATATATGGATTATAATATTAATTGCTAACCTTGTGTTTTGCCTTGTATACTGTCGCATAGCTACCCACTCCTAATTTTTCCAATATTTCAAAATCAGTTATGCGTGGCAGTGCCATATCCTGCTTACATCGATGTGTTTTTATTGTTATTATTTTCTTGTTTTGTTGTTAAAAAATATAAATTTGTTTGTTTTGTAAACAATTTTAATTTTATTGAAAAAGTTACACAAAAAAACCAAAACAAACCAAAAGTAATTTTTTCTTTATCTTCTTTACTGATTTTCAATCAATCAGCTGTTTGTTGTTTTTTCTAACTGAAACTGTCAAAACACAAGTGTGTTTAGAGTTGCCGAGTCGTTTATAACAAAAGCTAAAAAAATGCGAAAAAAGGAAATAAATAAATGCTTATTTTTAAAAATTAAAATCAGAAGTTGTAACGGATTTTTAAATTTGAAAATATAACGGAAGCAATTTAAATAAAATAAAAATCAGTAAAAATATATAGTAATTACTATTATTAACAAATATTAATAATTAATTTCTGTTGGAGATATATTATTCGACCTTATTACGAGAGGCGTTCATTATTAATTATTACGAGAGTAGTTCTGTTAAATTAGAATTACGAATGTCGAAAACGACTTAAATTCCTACGACTAGGGGGTTTTCTTTTAAAACTAAATTGTTTTGATATTTAAATGCCACACAGTTTTCAACACGTTTCAATTTAATATATATAAGTCCTGAAAAAATAAATGGTGAATTAATTCTTTTAAAAATTTTGATCTCCAACCAACTATAGGGGTAGTAAATCTTTTGATATCAAATGTAATAAATATTTTGTACGATTAAAAAAGTACACACGTTCAAGAATGGATGGTGGTCATCTTTTGATAAAAATTAGTTTCACTTTTTAGCCACAAGATAAGAATTTTTTGCAAAATTTAAAAAATAATCAACATAAACTTCTTTTTGTATATAAAAGATGATGACTGCTTCTAAATATGGTTAGTTTCTTGTGGGGAAATAAACGATAGAATGTGGTTTAAATATACGCTAGTGGCTTTGATAGCTTTGCTTGGCAGTGTTAACTGCTTACCCGAAAGTCGAGTGGTAAATGGCACTGCTACCGATATTACAAAATATCCTTTTGTCGTGTCATTGCGTAGCGCCAGTGGTTCCCATTCCTGTGGAGCTAGTATTATAGCTCCTCGTTGGATTTTGACGGCAGCTCATTGTGTCAGTGGACGCACGGCCAGTCAAATGAGCGTACAATATGGTACCACTAATATTAGTGCCAATGGCACAAATATTGCCAGCGTAAAACGTGTAATCATGCACGAAGGTTATGCTCCTGCTAAGTCATATGCCAACGATATTGCTTTATTGGAATTGCAGAGTTCTTTAGTTTTCAATTACAAGACAATTGCTCCTGTTACTTTGCCCGATTCATACTTTGAAGTTCCTCAAACTAAAGAGGGTGCTCCTGGTGTTTTAGCTGGTTGGGGCTTAAATGCGGTAAGTTTTTTATTTGAAAATAATACAATTTTAATGAAGTGTATTAATTTTGTTTATTTAATTTCAGACTGGTGGTTACATCCAAAGCCATTTGCAAGAAGTAAACTTGAAAATTTATTCTGATGCCGAGTGCAGTTCTAGACATAATGGTGCTACTAACTCCGATCATATTTGTGGTGGAGTTGATGAGGGTGGCAAGGGCCAATGCTCTGGCGATTCTGGTGGCCCATTGTTCCACAATGGCTCCATACAATTAGGTATTGTTTCATGGAGTGTTAAACCTTGTACTGTGGCTCCTTACCCTGGCGTTTACACCAAAGTTTCCCATTATATCGACTGGATTTACAATCACATGTATTGAGATTATTAAATGAAAAAAAAAAAAAAATAATAATAATAAATACCTACTAATAAACTATTTAATATTTATTTTAAAACATTTGAGAAGTAATTTATTTTTGATTCTTAAAACCGATTTATAGTTATAGCAGAAATATATATTTTCCTGTTCAAGTTTTTTTTTTTTAATAAAAAAACTTCCTATCTGTTAAAATCTATGGCTGATTCCTTATAACTAAGCAAACTTATAATTTACCGATGGAAATATTTTGAGTTTTAAAAAAATATCATTAAAAGAAAAATATATTTGTCTGGATCAAATTGCAATAGAGGACTCAATCTGTAATCTCAAACTAATTTTTTCGTCACTTTTTATAAACATCAATAGTACTTCAATACTTTTTTAATTAAATAGTATTTTAGAAATTTTCATTTATATTCTAGGATTTTCTAATTGGAATACTTGAATAAAAAATTTATATCAGAAATGGGCAAAATCTGAAATTTCTGAAATACAATGTATTGGAATTATAATATTTATTAGGAATTATCTTCTATTCCGAATTTGGGGAAGAACTTTATAAAAGCTTATACGGTTCATTTTGGGCTGCTTAATAATATCCTATTTTGGAACATTAAAGGTATGTATGTTCAGACTTATCAAATATTTGACAAAAATGTCGAGACCTCTAAGAAACGACATTTTGATTTACTCAAAATATGTGTATATATATATTTATATATTTGTTTATTTACACAAATAATACATCTTTGAATTTATCACTTTAGAACGTCTTTATCATTTGTTTCGATACAGAAATCATGTAAGATCAAAAAACAAAACGTTTACAAATTGTTGGTTACGTCTTTTTCGTTGTATATGATAGTTGTGTAGTCTAAATACAAAAATTGCGATTCAAAATGTTTTCAGTTTTCTTCCGATACACTCCTTTAAAATTTAAGATTTAAAAGATTTTTGTTCGCAAATAATCAGGTTTGAATTCTATTGATATTTTGAACATTTTATGATGAAATTAGAATTTTGCTAATCTAGTAAACCATGGGAAGTTGTTGGATTTTCTGAAAGCGCACCACCAACAAAATATCTTTAGGAGTTTTAGGATCATTGATATGAACTTTGTTCATTACATTACTACTAGGAATTGAACTCGATCCCTTAAAAATGTATAAATTTATATGCATGTATTATAAAAATGGCCGCATTTTCCAAAGTACTAAAGTACTCAATGTTTTATGTGAGAATTTTTCCAATTCAAAAATTTGCCTTATCATGTAATCATAAAATAGTGTTATTTTTATTTTAAAAATATTTAGTAATAAATTATTTGAATTCAAGCGCCAGAGTTCAATTTCACTGATATATACATATAGTAATTTAAACGATTTCATTTTTTGATGATCCTCTTATTTATGCCTGCTCTTAAAAAAATTAATCTAATCGTGTGAAATAAGGAAATTCCATTGAAAATTATTGTGAAGATTTAAAGTAATTTCTTTGAAATAAAAGATAAGAAATTTTGCACAAATTTTAGCAAAAATTCATTTCAATTGTATATAAAAAGATGATTAGTTTTTAAAAAACTGTTAGTTTGACGAAGAGTGTAGGCAAAATGTGTTTTAAATTTTCGCTAGTAGCTTTAATAGCTTTACTGGGTAGTGCTTCATGTTTTCCCGATGGTCGCGTGGTAAACGGTACTGCTTCAGATGTGACTAAATTTCCCTTTATAGTGTCATTGCGTGGTAGTACCGGCTCTCACTCTTGTGGCGGCAGTATAATTGCGCCACGTTGGATATTGACAGCTGCCCATTGTGTGGATGGTCGCACGGAAAAAGATATTACTGTTCAGTATGGTACTACTAGAATTAATACCTATGGTGATAATGTTGTTGCCGTCAAGCGTATTGTTATGCATGAGGGTTACGATGTATCTAAATCGTACGCCAATGATGTTGCTTTATTGGAATTGAGTCGCTCTGTGGTGTATAATTACAAGACAATTGCCCCAGTTGGTTTGCCCGATTCATTCTTTGAAGTTCCCCAGAATAGTAAAGGGGCTCCAGGTGTTTTAGCCGGTTGGGGTAGAGATGCTGTAAGTTACTTTTTTATTTTGATTTTAAATAAAGAAAGGGTTTAAGTCCGATTTAAAGATAAGTGTGATAGGGAAACTATCATGAACCAGATCTTTTATAAATAAGACAAAATTTTGCTTGAAATCCTAATTCTTTATGATTCATATATTCTAATTTATAATTTATTTGTGTTAATTTCAGACCGGCGGTTATATTCAAAGTGTTTTGCAGGAAGTAGACTTGAAAATTTATTCCGATAAGGAGTGTAATTCTAGACATAATGGTACCACAACTATCCATCAAATCTGTGGAGGTGTTGATGAGGGTGGTAAGGGTCAATGTAATGGCGATTCTGGTGGTCCTTTGTTGTTCAATGGCTCCGTACAGTTGGGTATTGTTTCATGGAGTGTTAAACCCTGCACTGTAGCACCTTATCCTGGTGTTTATACTAAAGTTTCTCATTATATCGATTGGATTTACAACCATATGAATTAAGTTTTAATGGTTTAATAATAAAATTAAATATTATTAAAATTATTATTTTAATTGTTTTATTTGACTGAAAATATTATTTGTTTTTTTTAAGTTTTAAATTTTTTACATTATATTTATTCTTAGTAAAAATCGACCGATTGGCGAAAAGTCGAAATTTTACTTTTTTGCCAAAATATTTAATTTTCGATATTTTACATTATATTCCTAGTAAACGAACGAATATTTAGTGAAAAATCGAATTTTTGCTAAAATATCGAATTTTCGATGTTTGTAATAAAAAGTCGAATTTTTAGTAAAATATTAAGTTTTTGAAGAAAAATAAAATTTTTAGTGAAAAATCGAATTTTTGAAGAAAAATCAAGTTTTTAGTGAAAAATCTAATTTTTAGTAAAAATATAGTTTTTAGTAAAAATTGGAATTTATTTGTGAAAAATTGGATTTTCAATAAAATTTTATTTTTTTAGTCAAATAATCGTCGAATTTTAAGTGAAAATTTAAGTTTTAAGTGAAAAGTCGTTTCTTGGGTTAAGAGTGAAAAATCGAATTTTAAAAAATTATATTCAAAGACAAATTAAATTATAATTGTTGTATTTTTAATAAAAATAGTATTTAATGAATGATTTCATTTTTATTTAATATTCTTTGTGAAACTTTGGATTTGGATAAAAGTAGAAACATCCGTTATTTATTGAAAATAATAGATTTTTAAATATTTATGGAAAATCAGATTTAGAGATTATTTTTAAGGAAATTCGTTTATCTTTTATATGCCGAATTAAATGATCTAGAATCTTTAATAGATTTAAGTAAATTTACCCAAAAGTTCTGAATATATTTCTATTAGTTTTGAGTAAAAAACTGTACAATTTCCCAACTGGGTCATTAAACAAATTCAGCACATATAAACTTTAAACGATAACAATATATTTGATTTATAATCCATTTAATCTGCAAAAAAAAGTACAACAGAGATTTGATTTAATTCAATTCAGTTCAAGAAATTCTACGATTTTATGGCGGGCCTTTAATTTACTATACAATATTTCCAATTGTAAAATAAATTATCTTATCGTAGGAAAACAGATATTCTTAAACACACGTCCAACAGTGGCCGATAGATTGGTGATCTTTTTGATAGAGATTACATTTTATTTTAACCATGAGATAAGAACTATTGCTGAATTTCAGCAATAGTTTACTTGCCCGTTATTGTATATAAATAATATTTTTAATTAGAGGTACTATTAGTTTCTAGTGTGGTGTAGACGTAAAATGTGGTTTAAATTTTCTTTATTGGCTTTGATAGCTTTAGTGGGCAGTGTTAGCTGCTTTCCTGAGGGACGTGTAGTAAATGGCACCTCTACCGATGTCTCCAAGTATCCTTTCATAGTGTCTTTGCGTGGCTCTACTGGTTCTCATTCCTGCGGCTCTAGTATTATTGCTCCCCGCTGGATTTTGACTGCTGCTCATTGTGTTAGTGGTCGTACGGCTAGTCAATTGAGTATTCAATATGCTACCACTAAAATAAGTGCCAAGGGTGATAATGTTGTTGGTGTGAAACGTATTGTTATCCATGAAGATTATGCTCCCTCTAGATCATATGCCAATGATATTGCTTTATTGGAATTGGAAGGTTCTTTTGTTTATAATTACAAAACTTTAGCTCCTGTTACTTTACCCGAACCCTACTTTGAAATTCCTCAAACACAACAGGGCGCTCCTGGTGTTTTAGCTGGTTGGGGCTTAAATGCTGTAAGTGTTTATTTGCCTTAGATAACTTAATAACTTGTTAACTTTAACGTTTTATTATAATTTCAGACTGGTGGTTATATCCAAAGCAATTTGCAGGAAGTTGACTTGAAAATTTATTCTGATGCTGAGTGCAACTCTAGACATAATGGTGCTACTACCTCGGATCATATTTGCGGTGGTGTTGATGAGGGCGGTAAGGGTCAATGCTCTGGTGATTCTGGAGGTCCTTTGTTATACAAGGGTTCCGTGCAATTGGGTATTGTTTCCTGGAGTATTAAGCCCTGTACCGTAGCTCCTTATCCCGGTGTTTATACCAAAGTATCTCATTATATTGGTTGGATCAATAAGCATATTAACTGAGGATTTTAAAAATTAAATAAATTAGTTAAATTAAAAAGTTATTTTTTAAGAGCAGCAAAAACTGTTAAAAAGTTTAAATCTTGTTTGGGGTTCGATAGGTGAAGCAAAATGTCCACTTATTGCCTTTTCGCAATTTACGATGTTCGATCTTTTTTCGAGTTTTTTACAAACTCAATTATTAGACTTCTATTCTACAAATCGTTTTATAAAACCAAATTTATTATTACATAGCGAAGGCCGGAAATTTATTTCATAAATCTAGCAAAACTTTTCAAACTGTAATCTTTCTTTAAAAAAAAAAAGCTTTTTCTTTTAAAATTTCTTAGACTGGTTCTTAACTTAAAATGTTATTAACGTAACATTATATCGAACAGAAACTTAACAGATTTCTGTTATATTATTAAATACATTCCACAAACAAACCAAAAACTTTTCTTTGTAAAATGTTAAAGCATTTTTCCTTATGTATGCAAGTATGTATGTTAATATATTTTTCGTTTGCTCTATGTCCGGTTGTTTGTGCGTATGTCTGTATTTGTTAGCATTCGTTTAGATTCGTGTTTTTGTTGTATTGCTTGCTCGTATCTCTATGACTTGCAAAGTGTGTTAAAAAGGCATGGCTTACGACTGCAGCATCGTAAGCAGTGTTTAGTCTTCGATAACGAGTTCAACGTGTATGGCATAAAGCGGAACAAAAGAAAATACATAGAAAACAAATAGAACAAACAAAAGTGTAAAGCAAAAAAATAACGGTTTAATATAAAAAAGAGAACAAATTTAAAGTTAGTTTACTTTGTAGTTTTGTAATCAAAAGATTTAAAACACAAAAGAAAAGTGTGAACAGCAGCCACATCCACAACAAACTAAGCAAAAAAGTGAGGTGATAATTAAAAAAATTATAAGATAAAAAGATAAATAAGAAAAATTAATAATAAAACTAAAACATAGTATTAAAAGAAAATAATTATCGGCTCAAAACTGTGCTTGCATAATTTTTAAACACAACTTAAGCGAATAGCAGAACATAAGGAAAACAACGCCCCTTTTAAAAATACCCTCAAGTACCGTTAACTATTTAATAAACAAATACACGAAATGCATGAATGTCATTGTTTGAAAATAAACTAACTGCGTTTTTGCAATTTGTAAAGCTACTGTTGTTGATTTTTTGTAATTTTATTTCGCTTTGTTGTTTAATTAGTTCAAGTGATTAAATTTTAAACAAAAACAATAATTGTTTAAATAAAACAATTTGAATTCAAATAAAAATAGACAAATTCTTTTTACATATACCCATAAAATTGCTCTATTTTCATTATAATTAATATAAACGTTATTAGTAAACTTTAATTATTCATATTAATAGTATAATTTTTATATTTATAATTATTCTTAAAAATATTATAACCTTGTATTTATTTTGTCTTGGTTTATAGCTACTCAATTCTTCTACTTAACAATGTGCAGCATAAAATCTAAAATATTACAACATTTAGGTGTAAAAGTCTCAAATATTTTACAACAAGAAATCTTACCTAGTATTTAGTATTCAGACTTGTTTTGGCCACATGCCAACATTTAATTTGCAACACTATGTTCTATATTGCAAGAAAAATTAAATTAGAAATAAAATCAATTTTTTTAAATGTAAATTTTATAACGACTAAATAATATCTAAATATTTCAAACGTGCTTTTAGGCAGATTTTATTATTGAAAATATGTATGAGACAGTGTTTCCACATGTGGGGGAAAAATCCCTTTTATTTTAATAGGTTTTGTCAAGAAAATAGTAACTAATGATTTACCGTCGTTTTCTCAAAGATATTAATCGTTTACTTATGGTTTATTAAGCACTTTTTCTATATAAAATCATTTTAATAAAACATCAATAACTTTTAAGCTTTAATGAATGCGGGTGTAAAAATATAAATATGTATGTATGAACCTTTTTAAGTTTTGATAAAGTTTAATTTGAATATAAGCTTTTTTAGTAATTTAAATTGCGCTTTTTCTAAAATTTTTAAAATTATATTTGCTCTTCCAAAAACTGACATTTTATTAAAAAAACTTTATTTATTTATCAAATAAGTACTAAAAATTCGACTACAAAAGTATTTATCTTTGCCTTAAAGTTCCAAAAGTAACCCTTAATTGTTTGGGGGGTATTAGGTTATTTTACAAGTAAATTAGTTGACCCCGGCCCGTATTGCTGTAGAGAGTATAAACAAATTTTCTCTAACTGAGAATATGAGTATTAAAAATTTGTATGCATATTATGGGTCCTCATTAGATTCTTCCACGATGTAGTCATCTCCTTTCATCTATATGTGTGATGATAACATGGTAGATCTTAAACGGGAGGATCGTAACCTTTATATAAAGTACCTTTTGGAAAATTACTTTAAATGTCCTAAAAAATGAAAATAGAGTATTAAATTCGATATAAGAAAGTTTTTTTTTGGCTTCTAAAATATTTCTACCAAATTGTATGAGGATCGGTTAATAATTGACCCTAGCACTCATATAAGGTCCCCTTCAGAAAAAGACTTTAAAGATGCTCAAACTGGCTCAAAAATACCGGTATAGCGATGAAGTTTGACATAAACAAGGAACTAATTTCATGAGGATCGGCTCATAATTGAACGTAGAGAATCAGTTTTTATGCGCTATAGTAGGAATTATATTATGCGTTTGTGCTAATGTTTGTAACACCCACAAATATTGATCCTACACCCACCTTAAAGTATACCAAGTCGACTCGGAAGCACTTTTTAAGTCGGTCTGACTGTCTGTCTGTCTTGTGCGCACGCAACATGTCGCAATTTGAAAGATACTTCCTGTTCTTTCTGTTCTGAAAATGGTTAAACTAGCTGCACCTTACCGACCCTTATATTTGCCTATAAGATTCTCAATGTAAAGATGCTAAATTTTAAAAGACTCTAAAATTTAAAAGGTTTCGGATTAGCGACTTCTCACTATCCCTGGAACATGTATGTATATTTGAATTTTTGTCTCATCAGGTGCCATAGTTCCTGAGTTTATCGATTACGAACAAAAATTACATTTTTATTTATACAGATAATAAAAAATAAAGTAATTTTCTGAAAGAAACATGATTGGGCTAGGGAAGTCCGAAATCTTATAGGAAAGCTGCATAACCAACATAGTTAGAATGATATTGAATATAATGGTGCGATACAAATATGTGAGTTATTTTGAATCAAGCTTAATATTCAATCAATCCAGAATCGATTTAGTGATGTACTCTATGTAAACATTGTAATCAAATAAAAAAAGATACAATTATTTTACTTCGCATCATATGCAGACATTTTAATATTTTAGCCCCCATAGAAAGCCACTTAAAATTTTAGAAATCTGTAACCTATGTTTAGAAATAATTTTGAGGAATTTTGTAATAATCTGCTCATAATTTCTTATCCAGCAATCACTTAAACTTTATAAACCGTTAGAAAAGTTCAAATCTGAACTTAAAAAAAAAAATCACAAAATAAAATTCCAAGCAATTTCAAAAAAAATTTCATAAAAGTTTATAAAATAAAACAATTTAATTTAATAAATATTTAGAAATTGATTTACAAAGTGCGATTATTTCATCAACCTTTTATTTAACATTAAAACTACTACAATATTTATCAATCTATAAAACAAGTAGAAACTTTGAATAGTAGTTTTTCTCATTCTTTCAATGATTTTAAAACAAACATTTTTGTGCGAAAAAAGCACATAAAACAAGAGCTAAGAGTTTCTTTTAGTTTCGCCAAAACTTATGAAAAAAATTATCAAAGAAAATACTTAAACGAAACCAATACAAGCATAAAACTCAGCTAATCGTATTATATTTTAATTTTTTGCTAAAGAACTACTGACATAAAGAAATAGAAAACAGCCAAAAGGTGGTAAGAGTTAAATAAACTTTTAGCTAACGGCGAAAAAGGAAAATAAAGACTAAATGGTTGTTTTTATAGCGGTAAAATTGTTTTCATTTATTTTATCTTTTTTTTTTAAGAAAACATAAATATTTAATAGAAATTGCAGAAAATTTGTAAAAATAACAAAAGATAAAACTACAAAAAAACATTTATTAAGATAAACATATAGAATAACCATAACAAAGTGAAAAATAAAAATAACAAAAACAATAAGACATTTAAAACTCCCTGATCTGCCTTCAATCACTCCTCTTTTTGACACATCATTAAAGAGATAAACACAGAAATAACGGTACTCTTGTAGTAAAAGTATAAAAAATCAACAAAACAAAAACAACAAAGATTCTATAATGTCACTATTGATAAAAAATAATAATAAAAAATCATCGTTGTCGTCAACATCGACTAAAACAAAAACAACAATTGCTGGTGCTGCTGGTTTAACTCGTACAAGAGCCATAACATTACACAAATATCCAACAATAAAAGCGGCAGCAACAACATCAAATACAACAACAACAGTACCATTGTTATCACCATCATCTGTGGTGGAGGCCACATCAAATGTTGATGCTGTCTCGTCTTCTTCATCTTCAGCAGAGATTTCTTTGTTTTCTTTGATGGAACAGCCAGTTGAACTAGAAAAACTAACAACCGCAACATCATCAGCAGCATTAGCAACATCAGGATCTGGCAGAAAAGTATTTAGGACAATGCCATCATTTAAAATCATGAGTTATCAGAATTTTATTGCCTTGTTAACTGTTCTGGTATGTGGCCTTGTTACTGTAAATGGACTCAAGTGTTACATGTGTGGCCAATATAATGAGGGTGTTGGTTCCATCACACCTTGCCTCAATTATTCCGAACAGTATGCTCATCTCTATTTGAAGGAGTGCTCAAAGAAGAGCGAAAAATATTGTGTGGTAAGTGCAAAGTCAACATAATCAAACCTCTATATATGTATGTATTTGAGTAATTTTATTCATGATTATTTATTTAGCCAATTTAGTTGTTTTCTATATGCCTTTTGTTATGAACACAAAAAAAAAATTTAATGGAAAAATGTCATGCCTTGTCATGTTATATCATGATGACCCATAATTGTTGGTATTCATTTCATACTTTTGCTACTAATAGCAGACAATGACAGGCAAACTCAAATAAATAGTTGAATAATAAATAATGTTAAATAATTTGTTAGAAAATAACGGAATACTGGAGGTAAATAGTTTTTTGTTGCTCTGTTTAGAGAGAGTTTGTTTTGAAGTGTTTATTAGACACTGTGGCGTGTACTTGATTTGATTGTTTGCCAAACAATAAACTTGTTAATCATACGCTCTAGTGACTCTTCAATTATTTCGAGTTAATGAAGTCTCTCTTTTGTTTTCTTTAATGTTTTTTTATTATTTATTGCATTTTGTTAGCGACTTAATAAGTATTACTAGAGGGACAAAAGTGACAAAATATCCTGAACATTATCCATAATGATTAAGTAAATTACGAAAACTTATTGTTTAGTGAGACAACAAATTGAAACTATATTAAAGAGAGAATTTGGTAAGAAGACGTTAGTAAAATAAGTTAAAAGCTAACATGAAAAATATTTTTAATTTTTTTTAAATATTATTACAAAATCAGTTCTAGTTCTAGTTCAGTTCTAGTTCAGTTCTAGTTCAGTTCTAGTTCAGTTCTAGTTCAGTTCTAGTTCAGTTCTAGTTCAGTTCTAGTTCAGTTCTAGTTCAGTTCTAGTTCAGTTCTAGTTCAGTTCTAGTTCAGTTCTAGTTCAGTTCTAGTTCAGTTCTAGTTCAGTTCTAGTTCAGTTCTAGTTCAGTTCTAGTTCAGTTCTAGTTCAGTTCTAGTTCAGTTCTAGTTCAGTTCTAGTTCAGTTCTAGTTCAGTTCTAGTTCAGTTCTAGTTCAGTTCTAGTTCAGTTCTATTGAATATTCTATATAGTAGCCTATGTACAATTTGACGGAATTATCTATTAACTAGTCTATGTTCTAGTCCGTGTATCAGTCTATGGACTACAATACGGACTGCTCTGTGGACAAGCATTATAACATTTGAAAACCAAATATTATTTACAACTATGTAAAACTATGAAAAATATCAAATATTATGTACATTGTACCTACAATGTACATTGTACATACATACTAGAGCCCTGCATGAGTGACTTAAATAATAAATTAAAACATTTGATTTTTTTCAAACACTGTGTTTGACTCACTCATTGTTTTATGAATGAAATGAATAGTATATTTGAAAATAAGGAATGTTAGTCAATACTCAATTCAAACGAAACAAGTAATGAGAGTGTTTGTGTGATTCAATTCAAGTAGTATACAGTGAGTGAATCGAGTGAAAGCAAAACAATTTTTAAGTTCGACAAATTAACAGATTTTTTGAATATTACTTCGAATTTTCGAACTTAATTTCGAATAGTCGAAGATAATATAGTAGCGTCATCAACTGTACTTAACACTGCCAAATTTCAGCCAATTTGGTCCACGGAAACTGGTTTTATCAGCTGTAAATTTTTTTCGAACATGAGTTCGAATTTTCGAAAATTTTTTTTTTAGTTTTTTGGACTCAAAGAATAATTTAAAAGCATAAAAAATTTTTCAAACATAACTCCGAATTTTCGAACTTAATTTCGAATATTCGAACATAATATTATCTTGTCATCAATTGTACTCAAGACTACCAAATTTCAGCGAATTCGGGCCACAGGAACTAGTTTTAACAGCATTCAAAATTTTCACCATTTATTCAAGAAAAAGTTTGAATCGATTCATTCGATTCAAACAATCTATTTTGTATTGTTTTAACATAAACAAATTGTTTACTCGCTCGATTTGAATGTAGTTGCACATTCACTTGATAGTACTCACAACGTTTGAGTATAACAAAACTTTGTAAATACTATTCTAAACAAACAATGAGTTGAGTGCAAAGCAATGAGTCACTCATTGTGTGTAGCAAATAGAGTTACTCATGCAGGGCTCTAATACATACATATGTAAAATATGCATAAATATTTCCCACTTTCATTAGTCTTTAATGAAAAACTTAAATAAAAACCACAATAACACCAAAAGCAAAAAATAAAAAACCCAAAAACAACTTCTGAATATACATGAGATATAGTATTGCAACAAAAAAGAAAAAAAATACATAAAACAATCAAAAACTATAAACAACAATGAACTGCCAGACACAGAAATTAAATTTTTATTTTTATGCACCCACCACACAACAAAAGTACAAAGGCAAAATTTTTATTTTTCAACATTAAAAATTGAGAATAGCAAAAAATAAATAAAAGAAGAGAAAAAAATGTTTAAAAAAAAAATTAAATTAATATAAAATTAATTCAATAAGTCCCTAAATGTTTTACAAATCTCTAAGATGTAATTGGTTTTATTTTAAGAAATTTCTAATTAAAACTCAATTAAATAAAGAAAGATTAAGTGATGAAAGAGAGAGAGAGAGAGAGATAAAACGACAAAGACATACTGTTGTGCTTATTTCATTATTATTGACAATAATTATTAAATGAACATGACAACAATGCAGCAGATGTGTCATGGTAAATAATGAAAGTAAAACAGGAAAAATAAAAAAAAAAGAAAAACAAAAAGAGAATTGAATAAAAAAACAAAACAATACAATTCGTTCAAGGCCTTTTCTCTTTCAGTTAGTGAGAACAACGACAACTAGAAATTACAAAATAATCAGTAACAGTTCATGACATATTGGCTAAATGAGAAATTGCTTAAACAAGTAAAATTTCCAAAAGAAAAACTTTTTCATTTAATATAAATAAAATTTTCAATATTTTTTATTAAGTGATTTACAATATTAAACCCTTATTATTAATTACTTTGACCCCATTTCATGATTTGCCTTCTAAATTATTATCATTATATAGAATGAAGCATCTGTCTATGTAATTTCCTTCAGGATAAAAAAATAATTCTAAGAAATAAAAACATTAAGAGGAAAGGTTTTAAAATCCTTTATTATAGATTACTGCAGTGTCAGCTTATTATAATACAAATAATGAAGAACCAGACAGTTTTTAATAATAAAGATATCCTTTACAATAATTCTTTATTTTTTAAAAAATTTTGGAACATTTTTTATTTAGAGAAATTTTTAATAATAAAAGTTTATAAAATTAAAAAAAACTTTCGTTCAAAAATTCTCTATATTATTTCAAAAATAATTATCGATCTTGAGAGATTTTTTGATTATTAAATCATAACCAATTATGTTAATATACTCACAAAAAATATTTATTTATAATTATTTTGTTATTTTTTTAGAGAAAATTCAGAGAACTCTTTTTTATTTTAAACTTTTTAGTTATAAATATATAAAGTTGCATACTTTAAGGCAGTTACACAAATAGTTTGTAAATTAAATTTAATGCAAATAAAACCCAAATTTTAATTCTAATTACACATAAAGGGTAATTAATATTCAAGCTAAAATTTTCCTATTTTTCTCTATAATTTCCCTTAAATTACTACACAAAACACAGTATGTCTTTTCCTTAATTCAAGGAACTTCAATTTATATTTTCTTCTAAATTCAAGCATTTTACAAACTCTCTGCCCCATCAAATAACTAAAAAGTTAAGCCAATTTAAATAAATTTTTAAAAATTATAACTAATAAAAATAATTATTCTGTTCGCCTTTTGTGTAATTACAACAATAATCATTAAATTGAAAGCAAGTAGAAATTTTTAGTAAAAGCTCTCCCTACAATTGATGGCTGGTTGGTTAGTTAGTTGGTTGGTTGACTGGGCGTAACAAAGTTACGTCGATAACAAGATGTTGAATTTGTCTGAAACATTTAGAGGAGTGAAAATCAGCAAAACACAACGACAATATTTTCCTTAGCCAACAACAAAAATGCAAAGAGGAAACTTTATCCATTAACTAAGGATATGCTGGTTATGTTGGTTTTTCGTTTGAATTTCTAACAAACTTTTAAGAAAAGTATGAGTGAAAAAAATGCTAAAAAATATTTAAAACAATAATCATAAAAAGACAATATAAGAGAGGGAAACAGAAGAAAAATAAGAAAAATACAAAATATTTTTGCCCAAGGATTTTACTTAATAAAAGCTGAGCTGTAGATGTGTCTTATTTATCATTAATTAACTCCCAGCCTATGGTAAGAATGTTGGTTACAATTTTCAGTCCAAAGCTGCAGCTGCTGCCACAGCAGCTTCTTTCATTTCAAGGACAAACATTTATTGTTAAATTACGAGTATTGTCCATTAGATAAAATTTTCTCTTTTTTCATATATAAATTGTTAGCTAATGTTTTAGTTGTTTTTTTTTTTTTCTTATTTCTGACTGGTGGCTGTTAGTCTATTTGCAATTAACTACTATTAAAATGCTAAGTAGCCAACCAAGTGTTGGTTAAATGTGTTTTAAAAAAGTATAAAAAAAAAAACTGTTGACTTTATGGTAATTGTGATTAATGGTCCTAGTGTTTGTTATATTATGGTTAAAACTTTTTTTGTTAAAATTTTATTCTATTTTTTCGGTTAAAAAAATGGATTTTTTTATATTAAAAAGTTGTAGGAAAAACAAAGAGGAAAGTGACAAATATTTTGTGTGATTTATTATAGCACTCTTTGCATATAGACCTTAAGGGATTTAAAAGTAAAACCAAACTGTCTCAATGGTAATTAAAGTTAAAAGCCAACATGAATAATGAAAAATATTTTTTTAATATTTCAGAATATTTTGCAGTAAAATTTAATGAGACAAAAATACAAGGTGTATTTAAAGGAATATTAAGGATATTTAATGAAATATTGTATAAACTCGGCAGAAAATTATGACGATTTAACAATGTCCCTCCCTTATGGGATCTTTTAGAATATAAGCTAAACAAATA